GCTGGGTTGGGGAGAATGAGCTGAGTCACTCAGATTTGTTCTCTTAGGAATTTTAACCAGGAATCCTGATCAGCCAATTAGCAGTAGGCATTTAATCAGAAAGGTTATGAAGAAAGATACAAATTCAGGATCCTCAAGAGGTAGCAGAGAATATAAAAAAACAAAGGACACCAGGCAGTATCTGAAGAAAATTACAATGAATGATACCACAGGGCATCAGAGAACACAGGAGACCTCCAGATCCCCTTACCACCCCCACCCCCACCCCAGATCCCTCCCCGCCTCTCCCTACCCCCACCCCGTCCTGAGTAAAATAATGTCTGGAAAGGCTTCGAGGAAGGGGGGTGGTGGTGCAGGGGAATAGAAGAGACTTTGTAGTCGCACATCTTGGAATTGGAATTGTCCAAGGTGTATTGACCCAGCGTTTCAGTGGATGAGGTGGGAGAAATAGAGTTTAACAGTGCTCAGCGTTGCATCTAGGATGCTATGGCTATGCTGTGTGATCTTTGGCAAATTGACCTTTCCCATACCCATGTTCTCCTTTATAACACGGGGGAAATAATAATAATTAACTTTAGGTTTATTTCAAGAGGAGAGGAGATAATCCATGTAAAGTGCTTAGCTTAATTCCTTTTACAACAAATGTTCTGAAAATTATCACCGATTATTGTTTCATTCTGCTTTAGTATACTGAAAGGCATCTAAATGGGTGAGTTTCAAACTGTAGGTTGCAGTCACGAGGATGTAATATAATAAGTTTGGTGGAGAGTAACCAGTAATTTAAAGAAATAGAAACAAGTTCTATTGTAAAAGTATTATTTGCAAAAACTTGTTTCAGCCATAAAAACTTGTATGTGTGTGTTTGTGTGTGTTTGTGTGTGTGTATGTGTGTGTGTGTGTGTGTGTGTGTGTGTAGAATCCTACTCATAACAATTTGGAGACCACTGTACTATATGAATGCCAGATGGGTAATAGATGGATCATAAAATGCACAATTAATTGGTTTGCCAACTCAAGCTCTGAGAAGGGGATGCCAGTCTATCCATTAGTGAATCCAAGGCCGTATGCAGTGCTGTTCCAGATTTTGGTGCTTGCGTGCGAGAGAGAGTGTGTGTGTGTGTGTGTGTGTGTGTGTGTGTACAAATAACAGTTGTGCTAACTTTGAGGGTTTTGGGATCTCAAAGCTTGCACTTTCTTCAATCTTAGATCATTTTTTTCTCTCTGCTGGGATTTCCACTGTGCTATTTATTCTCTTTTATATCCTTGGGATAAAGAATGGTAGATTTATTGAGAAATGTCTATTCCTGCTCCTTCTATATTCTGTGCATGTAATAATACAGCAGGCATCAGTAGTTCAACTTTAAAGTTTGAAATCAAGCATATTTTTGATTAATTACTCAGATAAAAGTTTATTCAAGTGTTTATTTCAGAAAAGTAGTTGAAAAGTCACTCTAGTCAGACACCATTTAAATAAAATCAGGGCCCCCCAAGCTAAGGTAAGATGAAGAGGATATGTATATATTTTGCAGAATATATACTTTAATTTAAAGTATGCCTAGGAATTTATACCATAAAAATAGATGAAGTTTCCTGGAATAAATGCAATAATACTACAAGAAGAAGCATAGTTGTCATCAGTAGTAAACAACACTGGAATAGCATAGGAGGAGGGGGTAAATAAAATTTATTTAAAAGTCTTATATGTCAGGTTGGAGATATGGGGAAGCATCTTGATTGTTGGAAGAAAGACACCCTTGCTAGAAATATAAAGATAGCTGTCATTAGCATATGGATGGTAATGGAGCTGATATATGAGACTTTATTCTCCCTGCTCTCCCATTTTTCCTTCCACATTACTGCTTACTAACAGTTCTTTGAGTCTTTTTTGTTGTATAACTACATTCCTCTGAGATTATTTTTGTCATAAAACCTCTGACTCCAAGGACAAAACAGTAATGGTACAAGGCTAGGGCAGGGATACTTTAAGGAAACCTAACTATGGACCTGGCTTATCTATACTAATAATAGCCTTGGGCAGTCATGATCAGACAGAGACCGGTCACCAGAAAGTGCATGGAGCACCTCTGGGTCCCACCCCTGTAGCCCACAGGCTCCTATCACAGCAAAGCTGGTGGCCCGGTGGGGGGGGGGAGAGGCAGGCACAGACAGCAGTGCCTGGCTGCTAGGCGCTGGGGTGAGTGAGACAGCAGTGTCTGGCTGCCAGGTATTGTGGTGAGCAAAGGAGCAGGCCCACAGATAGCAGGGCCTGCCAGCTGCAGTGTGGCAGCAATCCCACCTCTGCATGTGAGCTGCAGAGGAAACACCTTTTCTGACCACTCATTGGCTAAGCTCCCCTTATGCCACTTGCAGTGTTCTTGGTAACTTGGGTAATAAGAATCCAAGAAGGTGGTCTAGGGTTTTTCCACCTCACTCCTGGAGGGAAAAATGAAGGTCTGCTGGTGGAGGGGCTAAGAAATGTCATATCATGCCCTAGCCAGTTTGGCTCAGTGGATAGAGCCTTGACCTGCTGACTGAAGAGTCTGGGCTTGATTCTGGTCGAGGGAATGTACCTAGGTTGCAGGTTTCTCCCTGGACAGGGCCTAGGTCAGGGCTCATGCAGAGGCAACCAATAGAAGTGACCCTCTCACTCTGATGTTTTTCTCTGTCTTTCCCTCTCTTTTCCACACTCTCAAAAAATCTTCTCAAGTGAGGATTAAAAAAAATAAATAAAGAAATGTCATATCCTATGAAAGAGACATCTTGAAAATGCCTAAAAAAAGTTGTCATTTTTTTTTTTTTTTTTTTTGTGGTTAAGTGACTAGAATCCATGTTGATGAAAACACCTTGATGGCTGCAGCGGCCGGCAGTGGCAGCAGCAACGGAGTGATGGGGGTGGTACCTTCCCTTGATCAACCCGGTCACCTCCTGCAGAGAGAGGCCAGATTACGGCTTAGACTGGCTTGAGCCTAAGCTATCAGTAAGACATCTCCTGAGGGCTCTTCGATTGGAGAGAGTCAGGTCTAGCTGATGGACACCCCTCCCATGTACAAATTTTGTGTACCAGGCCTCTAGTCTATATATACTGTTTGACTGTTTGACTGGCAGTTATGATGCACACTGACCACCAGGGGCCAGACACTCAATGCACAGGTATGAAAACATGGAACAGACTGATGAATTTCAGAGGGAACGGGTGAGGAGGGAGGGTGGAAAGAAATTAGCCTAAGGTCTTATATGCATACTAAAGGCCTGGTGCATGAATTCCTGCATCTGGGGTCCCTCAGCTTGGCTTGCAGGAATCAAGTTGAAACCAGCTCTCCAACATCCCCTGAGGGGTCCCAGATTTCAAGAAGGCACAGGACAGACTGAGGGACCCCACTGGTGCATAGGGGCACTGAGCCTCTAGTTTGAGAATATAAGAGAATCATGGAATTCACATATTTTGGTCTATGGGCTTTGATGACTCTCACCCACATACACTTATAAAGACTTAGGTCTTTGTTCATGAAGGGGCCTATCTGGTCTTTTGGGGCCTCCAGGTGGGTCACCAGGCTCGTCCCATGTCTCTGTTCATCTCCTAGGGAAGCCAGGTGTTTCTTTTTCCAGTAACTGTGTATTTTGTTCTGCTGCCACTTTTTTTTTTTTTCCTGTTCGTACTGTGCCCAAAAGTGTTTCCTAATCTATTACTCACATTTCATTCTCTCTGTGTTCAATATGTGTGCTTTTGCTATAATTGCCAAAACCAGGAGTGTACTACTATCACATCTCTCTTTCTAGCAGTTAATTCTATAAATGTAGGAAACGATTCATGTTCAGCATGTCACGGGTTCTATTCTGCTCTCTGAACCTCTTGGGGGTAACAATGTGCACCATATGGCCTCAACAAATACTTCTTTGCAATGCCCAATTTTTTTTTTCTTCAGCCGGCCTTCCCTCTTGAATGTATGTACTCGACGTGATTTTGCATACTCTTCTTTTATGCAATGATCCAGATTCTCTGCTCTTCTGTTATATATATATTTTTTTTTTACCATTGCTTCAAGGTCTTCAGCTTAAGCAAAAGATAACAGTGTCATCTACATATTGAGGTGTCTCCAGTCCTTGAGTTCTTCCCTTTATCTGTCGGAACCTTGAAAGTTTTCTCAAGGCAGGAGGTGAAGAGTCTTAGTGAGATCCCACCTATTAATTCTGCACTACACGATGACCTTTGCCACCCAATTTCCCAGTTAAATGTGACACTATCGTTTGTGAAGATAGGTGTGAGGCACTTACCATGTGGGTCTTCTATTGCTTCTCTGGGAAGGCTTCCCACAAAGCATCTCTTCCATTAAGTCAACATTCTTTTCGAGTCCCACAAAAGCCATACAGAACGACTTGTTTATTACCTATTGTTCAGCCTACTCTGCAGTTTGAAAGCGAATAAAAAATAATACCCACTTTAACTGCCCACCCATACTGGGCTACATCAGTTGTTCCATGTGGTTTATTGTCTCTATATATATAAAGGTGTAGCTCTAATTGAAGTTCTGGGCCACAGATAACACTAATCAGATGATTAATTAAGCAGTAGCAATTTTCAATGAATACATGTGGATGAAGGAAGTGGCCACACTTTCTAGAGGACTTAGCTAACATGGTCACCCGATTAAAGGTGCAAGCATGACAACACAAGAAATAATAGATAGCAGCTATGAAAATATCAGGAACCCTACCCAGCCATGCTTCCCCCTTTCCCTTCTGTCCCTTTCCCCTTAGTGTCTTCCTTTTGTCTTGGCTAGGGTTGTTTATGAGCCAGGATTCTATGACAAACATGTGTGGGTGGGTGTTTCACAATGAAACAGCGGGAGAGGCGGAGGTGCTGCAGAAAGATGCTTGATGTATTATCTATGGCTAAATCACAAACGACTCCAAACAGTGGCTTGAAACAGATCATTTCTGTGACTTAGGAATCTGGGTGTTGTTTATTTTATTTAAAAAACAAACAAACATGCTTTTATTGGTTTTAGACAGAGAGGAAGAGAGAGGGAGAGAGAGATAGGACCATCAATGATGAGAGAGAATCATTAATCAGCTGCCTCCTGCATGCCCCATCTGGGTATTGAGCCTGTAACCAGGACCCCATGACCTCCTGAAAGAATCTGGGTGTGGATTTGCTGAGAGCTTTTCACTGTTTTCCCAGGAGGTGGTAATCAAACTGTCAGCTGAGGCTGGGGTCTCATCTGAGGCTTGGGGGCCAGGGGGACAGAGGGGCAGGTTACTCCCCTGGCTGCTGGCAGGTTTCAGGTGCCCTGGAGGCTGGCTTTCCCCACAATGGGCGCTCCAGGCCCTCATGTGAGCGAGAACACAAATGGAAGCCACAGTCCTTTTATAACCCTGTATCAGAGGTGACCCCCTTCCATTTTTGCCATATTCTGTTCATCAGGAGCGAGTCACTCAGTCCTGATTGCACTCAGAGGCCAGGCTGCACAAGGGCATGTGTATCAGGAGATGGGGCATTTAGGGCCATTGCAGAGGCTTACCACCCTGAGGCCCAAAGTGCTGTTTTGCCCCCCCCCCCCCCCCCACCTCCCCTGCCCCTCCTCTCAGTTACAATGGAACTTAAATTTAATGCCCTTATTTCCTGCAGAGAATGCAGAAGCGCTCTCTCATTGGTGCATTTGCAGATAGAGTGATTTTACCAGGGGAATGCCTTTCCTCCCAACCCCTACCCGGCTTTATCTCTTTTGAGTGGCTACCTACCCCAGCCAGTTGGCTGCAATGCACTTCTGCTATTTATTGGCCAGTGTAGCCCTGGTGTCTGGGATAGTGTCTTGTGCCCCACTGATACCACACATTTGTGAAATAAGTGAACTATGCCAGCGCCTTTAGAGGCATCACCAGGGACCTCTTCCTTCCCGAGCTCTCCTTCCCTTCCTCTCCCTGCATGTTCTGAGGAGGCATGGTGAGACCCAGGCTCCAGAGGCAGAATTCCACACCCTGTGCTGTCATTGGGGAGCTACTGGGCCTCTCGGTGCCTCAATTTCTCCACCTGTAAATGGTGATAGGGTTGCCCTGAGAGTAAATTCGAGGACACGTATATAAAGCTTAGAAGAGTGTTTTCACGTGCTGACACATGCTTTACGCGACTATTTGCCATTCTTCAAGTATTTCTCCTAACTTGATCAGTTTCATTATACTTCTCCAGGAAAGTCTTGCATCATGGTTGTTTACATACTTGGTTTTGACGTCAACAAATAGAATATGTTAGGACAGTGACCATGGAATCACTCACCCCTCTCCCTTTCCTACACTGCGAATTCCTTATAGCTGAGTTCTCATCTGATATGTCTTTGTGATTCCAGGGTAGGACTGGTATACAATTGTTTTGTAACATGTATTTGTTGGGCTTCAGACAAAGTATGTGCAGGAATGATCCTCATCTCTCTTTCTCTTTGTATATGTGTGTTTCTGTGTGAAAACCTTAAGACTCTAGTAATACTGTGCCTTTTATTAAGATGCTCAGTTTTTTAAATTGATCTGAATTACATGGGCACCCAGTCCCTCTCCTCCTGCCTAACCCTCACTTTCCTACCCCTTGCAGTCAAAATGGTTTAACAGAGCGAGGCCAGACCTTCTGCCTCACAGCACTCACTAAGCCCAGGCGGGGCCTGCCTAAGTAAACGAAAGGGATTCATCCTGCACATCTTTGGTTTCCATTCCTTATTTGCCTTGGGGCATTGCCTACTGCCCTGTAATCTCTGGGATACATCATTATGATTATTTTTAAACTTATTTTATTAACCCAAAATACATAATTATAGTTCTTTTTTTAAGGATAGATGATAGTGGTTTGAATATTGGTGAACCTGGTAATAAACTGTGGATATGCTGCTCTAAAAAGAGACAGATGAGGGTGAGAATGTGCAGAATATTTCTATTTTCCGCAACAGATTTCTCTGCACCCATTGTTTTTTCATGTGAAACTGATGCCAAACCTACACTTGAAGAATGAGAGCCTAGGGGGTTGGTACATGATGGTAAGCTTGATTATGCATATAATAAGATAAAAATTTAGGGAATTCAAAGATATAATCAGGAGAAAAACAGAAATTATCTAGTTATTTATGTTCAAAGTGAAAAGAGACAATGACAACTCAAGGAAATGTAAGTTATTCATTTTACTGCAAGTATTCAAGCTAAAGAACCTGGTTAGATGCTGCATTTGGGAATTGTTTAGAGTTCACATGAACACATTTTATGGTTTGATTAGTATTGTTTCAGAATTTTTCCAATGAAAATTCAAATAAGAGATACAACTAGATGTTCAAGAAAACATGATGCCAGATTTTAAAATAACTTATTTTACTGAAATGTAAAGTAACTTTCTAATCTGGCTGGTTTCTACAGGCTATTTTTTAAGTATTTATGATTATAAAATAAGGGAAGCTAAAAATGAATGAATAAATAACTTTTAAAAAGTTATTTCTAAGATTATAGACTTTCATATGAGGTTGTATTGGGACCACATTTTACTATTTATCTTTGTGAATATGTGCAGACTTACAATGAAAACATTGAAAAAATGCTGGTGATATGTGGCATGGAAAATAATGGTGTAGTGAGGCCCACTTTTTAGCAATAGGATAACCCCAGCCTCGATGTGCTACTTTATAGAAGTGTGCTCTAAACTTCTCCCACCAGAGTCACCAAAGACTGTCTCAGGTCAGTATCATCCAAGAGTGTTCAGGTATCGTTGAGTCTATTGACATGACTTTGAATTCGAAAGAAGCTGGAAAAAGAAGGATGCTTAGATCCTTACAAAGAAAAATGGGTATAGGAGCTGAAAGTCAAATAAAACAAACTTACAACGAAGTAATTGCCAATATAGAAAGTTAAGAGGCAGCCAAAACTGATTTGGCTCAGTGGATATAACGTCAGCCTCTGGACTGAAGGGTTCTGGGTTCAATTCCGGTCTAGGGCATGCACCTTTGTTTCAGGCACATCCCCAGTGGGAGGCAGCTGATCAACGTTTCTCTCTCATCGATGTTTCTAACTATCTCTCTCCCTTCCTCTCTGTAAAAAAAAAAATTATATATATATATAATTTATTTTTTTTTATATATATTTAAATATATTATATTTATATTTAAAAAGAAAGTTAAGAGGCAGAAAAGTAGAGATGTATTTCAATGAAGAACCTGTAGCCTGGTCCTAATAACCAATGAGGAGAGATTGCTTACAATCTTTGACTCATCAACTGAAGAAAGGCCACTTCTTCACTCTGCTCGGCCAAGGCTGTGTTGGGTACCACACCTGCTTTTCCTACCAGAATTCACTTGTGTTATGTTCTATTCCCTCTGGGACCATTGCAGTGTCAGGTGAGAAATTGTGACAATGGGTCGATTTGTTCCACAGGGCTAGCACTTGGGAGAAATCAAAATATTTGCCCTTTAAAGGGATGTTTTAGGAATAATGTTTCAGAAATGATGCTGGAAATATCTAACTCTGTGGCAGGATGGAGAGGACTTTTCTCACCGTTTGGCAGTTGAGCCTGAGCTCTCAGACTTCCCTGTCTCAAGAATGATGACATATTGAGGTCTAGAAAAATGAAATAGTTTTGCATTCTTCAAAGATAATTCTAAGTAGGTTTCTAGTGTTTTAGTGAAAAGAAATGCTAGACAAATGAATAAATCATTGCTCCTTTTTATTAGTAGCCACCGACGCTCTATAAAGTTATATAATCACTATTAGATGCTCCAGTGTTATTTTTTTTGACTATCCTGAGTGAAATAATACATTAGATATCACCAAAATTGTGTTCAGAAATATAATATGGACTCTTAATTTGCTTCATTCTATATTGCTTTTAGTTTGAATTCAGTTTTTTTGAATATAACATACCAATATTTGAGTTGTATGCACCATCAGAAATAGTCACATTTTTTAGGATACATTTTTACTCATGTTCCCAGGCCTATATTAAACATGTTAAGAAACAAAAGAGTTGTAAATTGACAGCCTGATTAATAGGGTCTTTCCTGCGAGTTGAGGTGAAATTCTGGTACCTTTCTTTGCTTATATTTGGCTTTTGGTTAAAATCTAGAATCAAGATGATGTAAAGCCATCAGTTTTTTTTTGTTGTTGTTTTTTTTTTTTTTTTTTTTTTTTTTTCCCCTGAGCCTTTGTTTCAGTTATCTTGTAGAAATGGCACATTTTCCTTTAATGTCCTCTGGGTTTATAAAATTTGATATAGTTATGTTAAGCATTACCATAGATGTAGATCAACTAATTAGAGAAGGAATGATTGGCACTCAGCTGAGACCTCTCCCCAGGAGCCCGGCGGTGGAGGGTGGGGGGGGGGGTGAGGTACTGCTTTCTCTGCAGGTGGAAGCTGGTGAGGTGAGCACCGGAAGCTGCTCCTTTGAGAGCCTGTGGCTCAGAATGCCTCTGCAAAAGGGGACTAACTTCACTCCTTTGATCTGAATGTTGATTTGGCCTTCAAGATATGAGAGTTCCCAAGTGGCTGGTTGGGTTGGGCATTGCAGGGTCTCCTACCACTGCTTTTGGAGCCAGGATCTGGATCATTGGCTGTAAATGGGTTAACTGCTCTGAGCCTCGGTGTTTTCACCTGTAAAATGTAAGTTTGGAATAATAACATGTATGTCATGGGGCTGCAGAGGGGAGTAAATGAGGCGATGAATGAAAGATATCTAGTCCAGGGCTTTGTTTATTGTAGGCACTCGTGCTCATTCATTCTCCTTTTCCTCCATTGTGACCCGGGAGCCAGTTTAACTCATGGCGGTGCCCTTATTTGTGTATCCTGCTCTGATGAGCCTTTACATCTTTCTTCCCAGGGAGCCATATAGATAGCATTCTAAATGCTAAGTAAATTGGGCTAAACTAAAATTAATCCCAAGGCAAAATCTAGGAGATCGATTGATAGATGTAGTTTTCTATCTATCGTGACCACAAGGCATTGATTCAGAAGGTATTGGCTCATGTCTTCTGATGATTGAAGCTGAGAAGTCTGATGATTGAAGCTGGTGGTGCAGATCGAAGGCCTGGGACCCAGAGAACCGGTGGTACAGCTTCCAATCGTCTAAAGGCCTGGG